GTGTCAGTGGGAGGAATAGTGCCCCATCATTGGTGTCAGTGGGAGGAATAGTGCCCCCCATCATTGGTTTCGGCGGGCGGAATAGTGCCCCATCATTGGTGTCAGTGGGAGGAATAGTGGGTGTCAGTGGGAGGAATAGTGGCCCCATATTGGTCAGTGGGAGGAATTGGTGCCAGTGGGAGGAATAGTGCCCCATCATTGGTGTCAGTGGGAGGAATAGTGCCCCATCATTGGTGTCAGTGGGAGGAATAGTGCCCCATCATTGGGGTCAGTGGGAGGAATAAGTGCCCCATCATTGGGGTCAGTGGGAGGAATAGTGCCCCATCATTGGGTCAGGGAGGAATAGTGCCCCATCATTGGTGCCCCATCATTGGGGTCAGTGGGAGGAATAGTGCCCCATCATTGGTGTCAGTGGGTGTGCCCCATCATTGTGTCAGTGGGAGGAATAGTGCCCCATCATTGTGTCAGTGGGAGGAATAGTGCCCCATCATTGGTGTCAGTGGGAGGAATAGTGCCCCATCATTGGTGTCAGTGGGAGGAATAGTGCCCCATCATTGGTGTCAGTGGGAGGAATAGTGCCCCATCATTGGTGTCAGTGGGAGGAAAAGTGCCCCATCATTGGTCGTCGGGGAATAGGAGGAATAGTGTCCCATCATTGGTGTCGGCGGGAGGAATAGTGCCCCATCATGGTGTCAGTGCAAGGAATAGAGCCCCATCATTGTGCAGTGGGAGGAATAGTGCCCCATCATTGGTGTCAGTGGGAGGAATAGTGCCCCATCATTGGTGTCAGTGGGAGGAATAGTGACCCATCATTGGTGTCAGTGGGAGGAATAGTGACCCATCATTGGTGTCAGTGGGAGGAATAGTGTCCCATCATTGGTATCAGTGGGAGGAATAGTGCCCCATCATTGGTATCAGTGGAAGGAATAGTGCCCCATCATTGGTGTCAGTGGGAGGAATAGTGACCCATCATTGTGCCAGTGGGAGGAATAGAGCCCCATCATTGTGCCAGTGGGAGGAATAGTCCTCCATCACTGGTGTCAGTGGGAGGAATAGTGCCCCATCATTGGCGTCGGCAGGAGAAATAGTGTCCCATCGGTTTCGGCGGGCGGAATAGTGCCCCATCATTGGTGTCAGTGAGAGAAATAGTGCCCCATCATTGGTGTCAGTGGGAGGAATAGTGCCCCATCATTGGTGTCAGTGGAAGGAATAGTGGTCCATAATTGTGCCCAGTGGAAGGAAGAGTGCCCCATCATTGGTGTCAGTGGGAGGAATAGTGGTCCATAATTGTGCCAGTGGAAGGAAGAGTGCCCCATCATTGGTGTCAGTGGGAGAAATAGTGCCCCATCATTGGTGTCAGTGGGAGGAATAGTGCCCCATCATTGGTGTCAGTGGAAGGAATAGTGGTCCATAATTGTGCCCGTGGAAGGAAGAGTGCCCCATCATTGGTGTCAGTGGGAGGAATAGTGGTCCATAATTGTGCCAGTGGAAGGAAGAGTGCCCCATCATTGGTGTCAGTGGGAGGAATAATGCCCCATCACTGGTGTCAGTGGGGGAATAATGCCCAACTGTTGGAGTCAGTGGAAGGAATGGCATCCCATCATCCCATCCCACGGGCCACAGTTTAGGGAGCATGACTTATAGGCTGGCAGGGGAAACCACAGCACCCAATGCAGGACATATTATCAAAAAAGTCAGACAACAGCAGTCCAAGGACTCTTCAAGAGATTCTATTACTTTTGTTGGAATAAAGTTGAATCTGAATCTCCTAACAGTGGTGTTGCACTAAAATTTCTATTTTTGTTACATTGCTCTACAAAAGTCAAGCAGAACGCAGAGAAGACGCCTGCCCGGGAAACTGATAATTTACATCAACATCAATACTATAAGATCGCAATGATAATAAGAACATTATGCATCCAGCACCGTTTTTCCACTTTATTCAACTTTCAGTATAATCTTGCTCCTGCAGTCCCCTGGGATATCTACATCACATATTCCAGGAGGCATCAGATTACACAGAAGCACTGGAGGAAGGAGAACCTGCCGCATGTCATCAAGGGGTTGGCTGCAAGTATCAGGTAGGTACAGCCATCCCCCCAATGATGACCGAAAGGTAGATGGTGGCACAGGACCTGGTGTACAACAACAGAGCGGCGAATCACTACAGAACGCTGCTGGATTCCCCGGGTGTGAGTGTGGAAGATAACGGACTACAACAAATAGGAGCTCAGCCATTATCTCCTTCAACAGTTCAGTATCTGCATATTCGTGCGTTCAGAATAGAAATTACAGGATTTAAACATTTACTTTTAAAGTGGAATTAAAAGGCATTTTTTTCATTCTTGTAAGGTTCTTCTTGATAATCTTCACTGACAGTAATATTCCTCCTGCAAAGTCAAGCCACAACCTCCATTCATTTCAAAGAAAGGTTCATTCTCCACTGGAACTAAAAAAACCGTACTTCACCTTAAAAAGTGATTTTCTAACATCTACAAAAGTAGACCCCCTATTAGAGCTACCTCATATAGAAACCAGACATCTTCACCACAATCTGACACCGAAACTGAATGTTGTCACCAAGAGGTAGAGGACAACCTTTCTCCACAAAGAGCCAAGGCAGGCCCAATTATTTATCTTTTCCAGCCCACATGCAAATTATTGGTTGGTTACCCACTTGTCTACCAATGTAGGTCTATAAACGGCATGATAGAAAAGCAGGTAAATCAAGCTCATGGCCGCTGCTCACTCTATCCCGTCTCCCCGGCGTACCGCACTCACTCTATCCGTCTCCCCGGCCCCCGCACTCACTCTATCCCGTCTCCCCGGCCCCCGCACTCACGCTATCCCCGCACTCACTCTATCCCGTCTCCCCGGCCCCCGCACTCACTCTATCCCGTCTCCCCGGAGCCCGCACTCACTCTATCCCGTCTCCCCGGAGCCCGCACTCACTCTATCCCGTCTCCCCGGCCCCCGCACTCACTCTATCCCGTCTCCCCGGCCCCGCACTCACTCTATCCCGTCTCCCCGGCCCCCGCACTCACTCTATCCCGTCTCCCCGGCCCCCGCACTCACTCTATCCCGTCTCCCCGGCCCCCGCACTCACTCTATCCCGTCTCCCCGGTCCCCCGCACTCACTCTATCCCGTCTCCCCGGCCCCCGCACTCACTCTCTATCCCGTCTCCCCGGAGCCCGCACTCACTCTATCCCGTCTCCCCGGAGCCCGCACTCACTCTATCCCGTCTCTATCCCCCCCCGGAGCCCGCACTCACTCTATCCCGTCTCCCCGGAGCCCGCACTCACTCTATCCCGTCTCCCCTCCCGGGCCCCCGCACTCACTCTATCCCGTCTCCCCGGCCCCCGCACTCACTCTATCCCGTCTCCCCGGCCCCCGCACTCACTCTATCCCGTCTCCCCGGCCCCCGCACTCACTCTATCCCCCGTCTCCCCGGCCCCCCGCACTCACTCTATCCCGTCTCCCCGGCCCCCGCACTCACTCTATCCCGTCTCCCCGGCCCCCGCACTCACTCTATCCCGTCTCTCCCCGGCCCCCGCACTCACTCTATCCCGTCTCCCCGGCGCCCGCACTCACTCTATCCCGTCTCCCCGGCGCCCGCACTCACTCTATCCCGTCTCCCCGGCGCCCGCACTCACTCTATCCCGTCTCATTCCCCCGGCGCCCGCACTCACTCTATCCCGTCTCCCGGCGCCCGCACTCACTCTATCCCGTCTCCCCGGCGCCCGCACTCACTCTACTCTATCCCGTCTCCCCGGCGCCCGCACTCACTCTATCCCGTCTCCCCGGCGCCCGCACTCACTCTATCCCGTCTCCCCGGAGCCCGCACTCACTCTATCCCTATCCCGTCCCGCACTCACTCTATCCCGTTCCCCGGAGCCCGCACTCACTCTATCCCGTCTCCCCGGAGCCCGCACTCACTCTATCCCGTCTCCCCGGAGCCCGCACTCACTCTATCCCGTCTCCCCGGAGCCCGCACTCACTCTATCCCGACTCCCCGGAGCCCGCATCGCTCACTCTATCCCGTCTCCCCGGAGCCCGCACTCACTCTATCCCGTCTCCCCGGAGCCCGCACTCAGTCTATCCCCGTCTCCCCGTCTCCCCGGAGCCCGCACTCACTCTATCCCGTCTCCCCGGAGCCCGCACTCACTCTATCCCGTCTCCCCGGAGCCCGCACTCACTCTATCCCGTCTCCCCGGAGCCCGCACTCACTCTATCCCGTCTCCCCGGAGCCCGCACTCACTCTATCCCGTCTCCCCGGAGCCCGCACTCATCCCGTCTCTACTCACTCTATCCCGTCTCCCCGGAGCCCGCACTCACTCTATCCCGTCTCCCCGGAGCCCGCACTCACTCTATCCCGTCTCCCCGGAGCCCGCACTCACTCTATCCCGTCTCCCCGGAGCCCGCACTCACTCTATCCCGTCTCCCCGGAGCCCGCACTCACTCTATCCCGTCTCCCCGGAGCCCGCACTCACTCTATCCCGTCTCCCCGGAGCCCGCACTCACTCTATCCCGTCTCCCCGGAGCCCGCACTCACTCTATCCCGTCTCCCCGGAGCCCGCACTCACTCTATCCCGTCTCCCCGGAGCCCGCACTCACTCTATCCCGTCTCCCCGGAGCCCGCACTCACTCTATCCCGTCTCCCCGGAGCCCGCACTCACTCTATCCCGTCTCCCCCGGAGCCCGCACTCACTCTATCCGTCTCCCCGGAGCCCGCACTCACTCTATCCCGTCTCCCCGGAGCCCGCACTCACTCTATCCCGTCTCCACGGTGCCGCACTCACTCTCTCCCACGGAGCCCGCACTCACTATATCCCTTCTCCACGGAGCCCGCACTCACTATATCCTGTCTCCCCGGACCCTGCACTCACTATATCCAGTCTCCCCGGACCCTGCACTCACTATATCCCGTCTCCCCGGACCCTGCATTCACTATATCTGATCTCCCCAGACCCTGCATTCACTATATCTGATCTCCCCAGACCCTGCATTCACTATATCTGATCTCCCCGGACCCTGCATTCACTATATCCGGTCTCCCCGGACCCTGCACTCACTATATCCCGTCTCCCCGGACCCTGCATTCACTATATCTGATCTCCCCAGACCCTGCATTCACTATATCTGATCTCCCCAGACCCTGCATTCACTATATCTGATCTCCCCAGACCCAGCATTCACTCTATCTGGTCTCCCACAGTACACACAACATGGAAATGAAATTATTTTAGTAAATATAAACTGCTAAATACCTTTCTCATTGGCAGTTAGAGCAGCTTGTAGAAGGCGCTTTCATTCTCCTATTATTGAGGCAGGACCCCTGGCCCTCTGTCGGGACACCACTTATTGGCCCTGTGTTGATCACATGCACCCTACCAAAAAAACACAAAACAAAAAAAAAAAACAAAAAAAACAAAAAACTCTCTAGCAATACACACCAAACTGAGCAGGTGCAGCTTGCCCCCAAGGCTTTGTTCTTTCAGCAGATGGATTCGGGACAGGAGAAGGGGAGGATCAGAGAAGACAGGATCAAACAATCATTTTACAAAATATACAGAGGATTAACCCCTTCGGTTCCACAGTGAGTATATCGAGCATGCTTTACTGCATATACAGACTGATTTTATTGTATAGGGTTTGGTAGCACTTTATGAGCCAAAGAAAGGCTTTCCCATAACCGTGATCCAGGTGGCCCTAGGCAATCCAATCACATTTATGGGGCTCTTAAAGTGCACCCCCTTTCCTCAGATCCCTCCTGCGACTAATAACCCTGGAAGCTATGTATATTACACCACTTGCAGGGTCACAGCTCTCATTTCCTCAGCTAGTGTGGCCGGGGATGCAGCTATTCACATCCGTTCTGTGCTTGAATAGCTGCATTGGAGGGCAGGGTCTAATAGACCCATGATGTCTCCATAAGGCCCATTTCTCGTGAACATTCCCAACGGAACCTCCATTCTCCCCTATGGAGTAACAGATGGAAATGTGTCCGTTTCCATTCAGCCACCCACAGAAGCAAGCAGCTGTGTCCGTGTCCACTCCGCATAAGCGGAGCAGATACAGACCTGTCATCCGCCTCCTCAGAGGAGAGATCGCCCGCTGAGCAAGTGGATTCCACCCTATGTGAAAGGGACCTAAAGAGTACCTGTCACCTGTCCATGCTTTCACATAGGGGGCTTGTGAGCCCCCTTGTAATAGCAATAATGTTTAAAAACAAAAAAAGAAATGATATCAAATACATTTTTTAAAGCATCCCCTTTACCCCTACCCTATACATACTCCGTATAAAAAGAGCAGCGCAGGGCAAGCACATGTATGTAATCATCAATTGTCGCAAATGCTGCAGTAAAAGCAATAATGCTAGGGCCATAAATATTGATTAACTGTAAAGCTATACCCTATAAAGGCTTTTAAAGCGTTGCCTAGGGAGAATCTGGGGTACCATAGTTTGAGATGCACAGTCTCTGATGGGGGTGCTGCTTCTGATGGAGTGCGGCTTCGAAAGAATGCGAAGCAGTTAAACACAGCAATCTAATTATGCCTTCTCTACTTTCACAGGTAAATGCACCTCTCCTACCTCCACTCCTAACTCAAACGCATTGACTCCTGCTGTTTTCCTCCTGGGTAAATGCACCTCTCCTACCTCCACTCCTAACTCAAACGCATTGACTCCTGCTGTTTTCCCCCTGGGTAAATGCACCTCTCCTACCTCCACTCCTACCTCAAACTCGCTTTCACTCCTGTTATATTCAGAACAAATGTTGTATTTATATTTGTGTGTATGTTGAGCAGTCTCTCACCTCCAGTTGCACCCAGTTTACGACTGTAGCCTGGTTCCTATGAGACATCCCCCACTATTCATGTGAGCCTTATCAGCTTCTAATTGGGGTGGAGTTGAATGCTCATTTGAGCATCTCCCTATAATTCAGATCAGCTCATGGGGGAGATCTCTGATGGGGGGCACAGTCTCTGATGGGGGTGCTGCTTCTGATGGAGTGTGGCTTCGAAAGAGTGCGAAGCAGTTAAACACAGCAGTTGAACTAAAGCAGGAGAAAGACACACAACAACAGCAAGAAACTCTACTGCATGCTGGACAGACTGCAAGCAAACACCCTGGGAAACATCTCTTACATGCCTGAGACCCACTCTGTGTGCCTTTATATAATACACTCCTCTTCATACTACTATCCTCTGTTCCCAAATCTCATTTCTTTACCCCTCTGCTCCACCCCAAAACTTGCACATCTCCCCCTCATTGCTATCATCTCCCTACTACTGCTCTCATCACCCCCCAAAATGCCTCTTCTACTCCTCATTTTCCTCTCCTCCATTCCCAAAATCCATTCACTATATCCCTCTGCTCCTCCTAAACATTTGTATATTGTGTCCTCACTGCTTCCTTCGCCCCTCTATGGCACCCACCACCTCCTCCTATTATTTCCACTCTCCCACTGACCCAAACACCTCCACTAGGAGTTTCTCACGCTCCTGCACATCCCGCTCCCATGCCACCTTTCTCACCCTTCTCCTCCTCCTAGCCGCGGGAGACATCTCCCCGAATCCTGGCCCTCCACCACCTCCCTCACCCGCACAACACCCTCCCGCCTCCATGTCCTACCGCAACCCCCGCAACCTAGTATCTGTCCCCCTGCTCCCTAAAATCTCCCCCCCGTTTTCATGTGCACTCCTGAACGCCCGATTGGTGTGCAACAAGCTTACCGCCATCCACGACCTCTTTGTTTCCTGCTCCCTCAACCTCCTGGCGATCACGGAAACCTGGATCCAGCCCACTGACTCTACCTCCCCTGCTGCACTCTCCTATGGAGGTCTCACCTGGACCCACTCACCCAGACCTAACGGTCGTAAAGGTGGTGGGGTTGGTCTGCTCCTGTCACCGCAGAGCACCTTCCGAGTCCTCCCAAACCCCCCCTCCCTATCCATCTCCTCCTTCGAGGCCCACTGCGTCCGACTATTCTCCCCAACCCCCCTGAAGATTGCTGTGATATACCGGCCCTCCTGGATCCATACCCGGCCTCCTGGATCCATACCCCGCTTCCTGGAAGACTTCTCCTCCTGGCTACCCTTCTTCCTCTCCTCTGAGCTACCCACCATCATCCTTGGGGATTTCAACATCCCCTGTCAACCCGGACACAGCCCGTCCCCTCCTCCACTTAACCTCCTCCTTTGCACTTGCACAGTGCATACAATCCACCACCCACTCCGACGGTAATATCCTGGACCTTGTCTTCTCCAACCGCTGCGCTCCCCACAACCTCACTAACACCCCCTTCCCTCTCTCTGACCACAACCTGATCACCTTCTCTATCTCCTCGTCCTCCAACGCCTACCCCTCCAAATGTCACACTTCTACCAGCAGTAACCTCCGCAACCTTAACCCTGCCCCCCTCCACTCTGCAGCTGATCAACTCCATGACCGCATCCTCCCCCTGTCCTGCCCCGACTTGGCTATGACTGCCTACAACAACGCGCTGTCAGCAGCCCTTGACTCACTAGCGCCTTTAACCACACGCAACATCAGACTCCGACCGCTCCAGCCCTGGCAGACTGATCACACCAAAACCCTCAAACGATGCAGTCATGCCCTGGAGTGACTATGGCGCAAAAAAAAATCCCAACAAGCTTTCACCTGCTACAAATCTGCCTTCCGCACCTACACCTCCTCCCTCCACGCAGCCAAACAAGCCTACTTCCTGACCCTCATCAAGGCCCTCTCCTCCAATCCTCGCGACTCTTCTCCACCTTCAACTCTCTACTCTCTCCACCCCCACCTCCACCCAGCACCTCACTCACCGCCCTTGAGATTGCCAATCACTTCAAAAACAAGATTGACACAATTCGCAAGGACATTGCCGCAACTCACACGCCCTCTCAACCCGTCCCCTCTCACACAGCTACCCCCTTATCCCCCCTCCCCCTCGACATAACCCGCAGGGACTTGGTCACTGCTCAAACTCCCTCCAACCCGTTCCCCCTCACTCAGCTACCCCCTCATCACCCCCCCTCTCCCACGGCCCCACCACTGCTCTGACCTCCACTCCCACCCCACCCTACATTCCTCATACTGAAGCTCCCCCAACACTCCACACCTTTGACCTTACTACCATCGAGGAAGTCTCCAAGATCCTCTCTGATGCCCGCCTCACCACCTGCCCCCTCGACCCTATCCCCTCACAATTCCTACGACCTCCCTCCCCCTCCATCCTACGCTCCCTCACCCACATCTTTAATCTCTCCCTCTCCTCCGGCACTTTCCCCTCCCCACTGAAGCATGCACACATCACCCCCATACTTAAAAAGCCTTCCCTGCACCCCAATGACCCAAACAACCTCAGACCCATCTCCCTGCTCCCACTTACATCTAAACTCCTCGAGCGCCTCGTCTACACCCGCCATGCTCTCACCTCAACGACAACAACCTCCTCGATCCCCTACAGTCTGGCTTCCGCCCCCTACACTCCACCGAAACCGCCTTACTCAAACTCTCCAACGACCTTCTAACCGCCAAAGCTAATGGCCACTATTCAGTGCTCCTACTCCTTGACCTCTCTGCGGCCTTCGACACAGTTGACCACCCCCTCCTCCTCAAAATACTACACACTCCCTCGGCCTCAGAGATTCTGCTCTCTCCTGGCTCTCATCCTACCTATCACAACGCTCTTTCAGCGTTACCTATAATGCTACCCACCTCCCCCTCACTCCCCCTCTCTGTTGGGGTCCCTCAAGGCTCTGTCCTTGGGCCCCTTCTCTTCTCCATCTACACCTCCTCCCTTGGCCAACTCATACACTCTCACGGCTTCAACTACCACCTCTATGCCGACGACGACACACAAATCTATCTCTCAACCCCCCCCCTCCCCCCCCCTCGGTCTCTGCCCAAATCACACACCTACTGAGCGACATATCAGATTGGATGTCGCTCCACTTCCTTAAACTGAATCTCTCCAAAACCGAGCTCCTTGTCTTCCCCCCAGCCCGAACCCCATCCCCCATTGACTTCTACATCACATCCAACAACGCCAATATATCAAACCCGCTCTGCAGGCCAGAGTACTTGGTGTCATTCTGGACTCCAACCTATCCTTCCAGCCCCAAGTCCAATCTTTAACAAACTCGTGCAGACTCCACCTCCGCAACATCGCCAAAATCCACACGTTCC